TGGCAATTTCCCGCCCGCCATCAATCATTTTCAAAGTGCGACAGGTTCGTCAAATAGTGGAGTTTTAATTTGGGAAACCAAATGATCACAAATTAGGTTTTTGATTTTGAAACATTACAGGCTCTTACATTGTCTTGTATCTTAATATTTAAATAATAGTTGAAAATATCAAACACCAGTTTTCAGCTTCTCAATTTAAAGGATTTAATCATTTATCTCTTTTTTTTCCACAGGAACGACATAGTGGTGATAAGTGCTCTGCTTGACTGACGGCAACGTTGCTCTACTTCAGTAGAAGAGAAATAGTAACAAAAGGCCCATTCGATGACGCCAGGAGTCTTAATGCTGCCATCAGTAACCCGGTCGCTGTGTTTCTCCGGTCGAGTGCTGATTTAGAATTCACTACACGCAGTGCAATAATGTTTTTCTTTGACGATTCATTGCGTTTGATTAATCAACTTTAATATTTGTGATCTCTTGTCGAGTGAACACCATCATCACCGTCATCCATCTCCTCCACAGCGACCGAGTCGACCGTTTATCAGACAGCTGGCCGCGAAACACAGAAAAAACGATTCGGTCATAATTCTGAAGATTAATGGATTTTAAATATTTATAAGATGACTTGATAGAAATATAGCTGCAATTAAAGATTTACATTTTTTACATAACACATCAGAAAGTTGTGTATCAAAACGTAGTGTTCTCTAAATGCAACTGGGAATCTATGTAATGTAAAACATATTATAGCTTTAAATGAAGCAATCCAACTAGTCCATAGCCAAGAACCGTCCATGTTCTCTCCCTCACTTTACAAAACTAATGTGATGTCTGGGTTGCTTAGTGACAGAGTCAGAGTGACATCACTTCGGAACAGGTGGAACGGGTTACAGCCACTGAGTAATAATGTAAACCGTGAAAGTCACCAGCAACTCACGCGACAGAGATTACGGTCGTTTGGTAGCCGGAGAAAGTCAAGCAACACACCACCACCTCACAAAATAATGCAAACCATTACAGTTTATTACTGCACAACACAAATAGTGCAAATAAACAGCAGAATAATGAAGTCAATACAGCTAGCTGCTCTTTAATTGTCACCCAAAAGTACTAATCAGGGTTCTCCTGCCGGGAGAGAACCACGGATTAAAAACGTTTTTACTGTAATGGGTCTCTCTAAATGTAATATTGCCGTACTTAAATACATTTTCCCTTCCTGTGTTGTCAGTGTGTCACAGCTGAGATGCAGTGTTTGATTATACAACAGGTCCTCAAGGTTAAACAGTAAAACACGCTCACCGAGAGGCAGAGAAATGACGCACAATATCCTGATAAGCAACCACCTCGGAGGAACAAAGCAACACGGAGAAACACTTTCATTAAACAAAACCCAAAGAAACTATGGGCTACTAGCAAATTAAATAACAATAATAATATAATACATGAACCTGGAACCCAAGGGAGCAACAAAAACAGCATTAACTTCATTTGACCTGGATTTACTGTACTGTACAGCGAGGAATGATTTACATGCATGGATTGCAGCTAATTGTTTCTTTCATGCCAAGCATGTCTCGGAGGACATTGCTGCCTTCTCCAAAACATCTAATCAATGAAATTAGATGAAAAAACGCAGCAAAAAAAAGGGAACCGAACAAAGCTTGAGGCGCAGAAGCAAGTCGGACTGGATTTGATAAATCGCAGCATGAAAAATACGTTCCCAGTCAGAGCAGCTGATCAATGAACCTGCAACATACACGACATAACATGTGTTGACTTTAACGAGCCGGCAGGCGCTCTTAAATATGCACAGGAGAGGTGCGTGTGCTGTGCAGAAACACCTCGTCACCACACTCAGCTTCTGCTGCAACCACGCAGGTAAAAAAAAGCTTCTCTGGTCGTATGTATGCAGAAATATCTATAAATATGCATGTATATAGATCTGTACACTTGAAAGAACCAAGAAGAGATTTGTGCGAGACACACAAATTGTAGTTCGTTATCACGGATATTATGTGATTTTTGGATTATTTTACTGCCGTAGAAACTGCACAGTATGCAGTAGAACGCTTTATTCGTGCTGAATAATTAGTTAGTTTCTAGGAAAAACTACTTAAGAAAAAGAGGAACAACACAGATGTACAGAGCATACAGATGTGCTGTTGTTGGTGATCCAATGAATGACCTCTATCATCAGTATTTTAACCTCATATCTCACTTCAGCACGACACAGTGTGTTCTCTCCTTTGATCAAACTGATTTCTGTTGATTGAGGATGAAAAAGGCCCTTTAGGTTCACAGTATATGGATAAAAAAGAAAAAAACATCATGTACAGTATGTTCCAATGAGCTCAAACTCAAATAAAAGTCATTATTTTATATTTGTAGCAATTCTAGTTAAAACAACACTTGGCAGACAATTAAAAAACTCTCGAGACGTGTTTTAACAGATAAAGTACTTGGCTTTGATAATTATGTGTGTCTGAAGCTACAAAAAATGCCAAAGCATTGAATTAAACATTGAACCAAGAACATCTGCTGCTTCTCACATGAATATGCAAATTAAAAATATTTGTTAATTTCAGCGGTTTCACAGATGGACACGATTGCATGAGAAGTCCATTCTCAGTGTGTATGTGTGCTGTATTCTTCCAGTTGCCACATGTTTCTAGTAAATATATATTTATCGCATATATTTCTGAGTTGAGGGGATGATTGATCGACCTACTTTCTTTTCTGTAACATACATAATAAAGGTAGTGAACAGTACTTGAAGTAGTTGTTGAAGGAACAGATGCATACAACTGATTAAACCCAGTTTGCCACTTTTCATCTTCCTTCTAACGTGTCTTCTCAGAAAACGATCCTGTGTGTTATTGACTTCTAACAACCCAAAAACAACTCGATTGCTTTTCAAAATGAACCAAAGATTGTTAATCAATCACTAATCATCAAAAGAACACTTCCGATGTTGGTGAATGGAGAAGCTTCCTAGTTCCCTGTCCGGCTCGAAGCCAAACACCGCTCTGAATCCCGTTAAAACATCAATCGGCCCACTGAAGCCGAGTGTTGGTTGGATGCCCATCTGGGGTGCCGAGGTCAGACCGGCCCGACTGACACATCTCTGCCGCTCCTCTACTAGATAACGGTCAGAAGCCATCGCTCTCCTCATGAAGGTCGTGCTGCCAGTATTCAGGTGGAGGTTGGTGGTGACTTTTCATCCTGGCACTTCCTCCCGCAGCTGCCTCGTCTCATCTACTCTACCCGCATCCACCGGGCGTCTCACGGGTGATGTTTAACGGCAAAGAGGCTGACACCTAGCGCTGTTATTGCGCTGTCAAGTCATATGCGGTGACGGAAGGATGACAGACTTTTTTGGCTTTAAAATAAGTACAAAGAGAATCACTGCACTCCCATCTTTTGATTCTTCAAGTGAAAGGAAGCAGATCTAAGCTCTAAATGTAACATACGTCTTTGCTTTGTATTGTCAAATGTCGCCCCAATGCGGTACACCCTATCCAAGCAAGCATCGGATAGGTTGGATTGGATTGTTTTGTGGTGTGCATTAGTTATTTCAAATAAGTGCTCAGTTTTGACATGTCCCCGGGGGTCCTTCTCCTCCGGCTCTTCCAAGCTGATGTGTGCTTTTTCCGACGGGTTGTGGAACTGCGCTGGGTTCCCTACATGTTGGCTGTGCACCCTCATTGACATGACTAACCAATCCATCGTTGGGCCTCCTTCTCCTCAGACTGTGTGCGTTGGTAGACTGTGTGCTGTGCGCTGTGACCCGATGAAGGGAAGATTCTCTGCACAATGTCACCTACTTCCAAAAGTAAACCAGTTGGACAGCCCAACTGACTGCATTCTGCCTTTCCATCTTTTTAACAACCAAGAGAAATTAGCCTTTATTTTCCTGATTGTCCCGTGGAAAGAAAACCAACCATAATCGGCAGGCAGATGTTAGGCAGCTATCCAGCCGCTCACTTGTTCTGTTTGCCAACGAGGCCCTTCAGCCTTCAGCTGCCCTTAGAGGAGCCGTACCTTGAGGGATACTGGCATTAGAGTTGAGTCCCGCTGCCTCGAACTTGAATACATAACAGAATAATTGGCTCCTGTCGGTCTTCTGTAAACCTGGCACTAATCAGACTGTCGCATCCACTCGACTGTCCGGTCGGAGTATTAAAAAGGAAGAAAGCGCCATGACCGGCTGACGCTGCCGAACCCTGACGACAGCAGTCAGATCGGTTGAGAAATCAAGTACCCCCCCCACCCCCCCTTCTGATCCAGCTGTCTTTTTGAGTGAGGGTTTTACTCTCAACTAATGGATAATCCCCCCCCCCCATAGTGATAATCTATCCACCTGTAAATACTCACAAGTGCACAAAATGTCTATTGATCCACTGCGGAAAACAGTCCCCAGAAAATGCTCAGTTTGGTTCTTTTTATGAGTTCAGCTCTTTATGGAAGTTACTTGACCTTCTTCAAAAAAACAAATCTTATTTTAAATTGTAGCTGATGTCTTTTGGTTTGAGTTGATGGAAAAGGATTGAGTGTCCGGCCATCACTGCCCACGCTTAGCACATGAAATGGAATTTGCTTTTCACCCTACTAGGTCAAACCTTGACCCCTAGACCCAAAACACGACGGCAGGTCTAATCACTCAGTCTAAATGCCAGCTATAGGGCAGCTCTTTATTTGAGCATATCCCAGTGCCACCATGTTACTGTGCATCCTCATTGTCACTTTCACATATCTCCCAAGCACAAACACGCTCCCTCCCCCTCGTCTCCCCCTCGTCTCCCCCTCTCTGCTTCAGTGTTTTGCTCCTCCTCGCGCTCTCACTTTGCATTAAGCCCTGCTTGTCTCTGATCCTCGGAGCAGTGCTTACGGCAGCTTCTGAGACCAGTGTGCGCACTGATGGTCTCCAGTCGCCTTCCCAGCACTGGAAGTGGAGGAGGGAGGGAGACAGGGTTGAGGGAGGGGGGGGGGGAATCAGTATCACTGGGTTGGAGGAATACAAAAACATGTTAGTGAGTCAGAGAGTGTGATAATAAAACGGGGTAATGAGTGAGAGAACATGAGGCAAGGAGAGAAAAAATATTTCCAGAAGAAAAAGAGAGAGAGAGCAAAAGCAGGGTGGCACAAGAGCAGAGGAGCCAGCGAATAGGAGAGGGGGGGGGAGAGAGAGAGAGAGAGAGAGACTGCAGACGCTCGCCCACTGTCACCGCTCCGCAGCCAGAGGACAGAGGACTGAGGCAGTGGACGCAGGACGCCATGGAGGAGGAAGACCGCACCGTGCGCCTGCAGCTCAGCCGCTGACGGATCACTCCTCCGAGCCCGTCCCGTCCGGTCGGGAGCCACTTCTGTCTCCCTCCTTCACCAGACCCAAGTGCCGGACCTCAACTCCTGCAGGACCCGGGAGAGGGGGGTTGGAGGGGTGGCACTGTCTCAAACGCCCACTTCACTTCTTCCTGCGTGCCTTTTGGACTAGTGTGTGTGTAAAGGGTTTTTTTTCAAATATTCTTGTTTTTTGTATTTTTTTTTCTCTATACCGGCCGTTCGCTGGGTGGATCTACTTTTGTCCGGTGTGCGGACCATGGGGCGCGGGTGGAGGGGCGCAGCGGGGACCCTCCCAATAAGGACCGGGGGGAGCCGCTACCTTTCGGTGACGCTGCTGCTGCTGCTGCTGCTGCCGTGTGGCTGCCGGGAGGCTTCCGCGCAGACGGACGACGGGAAGTCCGTCTACTTCTGGGAAACAGGTACCGTTACCCGCACGAACCACTAATCACAGATTACACGCGTGCGGCACGTTTTACAATGGCGGCTTGGCGGGGGGGGGGGGGGGGGGGGGGCGACAAAAAAGGTTTTTTTTTCTCCCCAACTTTTAGACCGGGTTGACCATTTAAGGTCAGTGAGGATGAGCAATAAAACGTCCTCGCACGACGCCTCCAGGTGAGACACTTTCTGCCGCCAGTTGTCCTCAGGTGCGCCGCTGCCAAACTTCAAAGAGGCACGCGCCCGAAAGATGACCCAGAAAATCTCGCTGAATGGCACGTGGCACGCAGGGCGCGTGTGATCCATGTTTTTTTCCTTCATCTGCCCGAGTGTCAGGCGGTGCGCCGTCACTGAGATGTTGCCGCTGAGCCTTACGCCGCGTGGATGATCGATTGAGGCATTGACGCGCAACATCGCTCCCGCGTGGGAAGCCGCAGCCTGGAATGACTGCGCGCGCGCGTGTGTGTGTGTGCGCGCACGCGTGAAATCCATACATGTAGTACGTGCATACACATTATCACTGTTGACATGTGTGAGGAAGCCAACAACCCCAATGTGAGCTTCTAGAGTGCAGATGTTGCGGTGATTATTCTTGATGGACATTGAGAGAAAAACAAGTCCTTCGAGGAACACGTTGATTAAATCCTCAATTACGCAGAAAAACTCTTTTTTTTTCACACCTACACACATTTGACTGAACAAAAAACCTGCGCAACTTCTCCCACTGAATCAAACACCCCCCCACTCACTCCTCTCCTCCTGCCTCGCCCTCGCCTCCGCCCCAAACCAGCTCCCAGTTGACGTGTGCCACGTCCCTCCCGAGGTTCTGCATCTTTAAAGAGGATGTAGCTGAGTAAGGAGATTAAGGGAGCAGGGATTTAACAGCCCGGGGAACCGAGTTGAGGAGGAGGACGGCAGAGGGAACACTGCAGGCCGAGGGGGGGGCGAATTTAACCTACATCCACCCTACTGGTCACGGTGCCTACGCCTCTCTCCCACGCCGCTCCACCTTTCTCCCACACTGTACGTGTTCTTAGGCTCTGTGCTTCTGAGATGTAAGCCTGCGGTTGGAGTTTGTTCACTTTTTCCAAATAAAACATTGATTTCAGCCCTAGAGTCATCTCTTTCTTCCTTTCTGTTTTTTCCCACCCCTCTTTGATTTCACAATTGCCTGTAGAGTATTAAAATCACACAAGGCAATTTAAGGCTTTGAATCCCAGTGCATCTCCACAAAATGCTATCACTGTATGTTTGCACTACATTTGCATACTTAAATTTCCAATCGACTCTTGTTTTTTGTTTTTTTAAGGAAGAAAAAAATACCCAAACGCGATGATGTTTGTGCACATTTGCAGAGTATGCAGTGGAGGGAATATTCTTGTGGCAAGCAATGCTCTGATGTTTTGCATATTGATGAGTCGAGCTGAAATACAGCCCCTGTCTTGGGAACTGTGGGGAATTGGGCCTGCACTGCTTTTATTGCCTTCTAAAAAAATATGATGTATCTGTTTTGGGAGTTGAGACAGTTCTCTTTATTTTTTGCTCCCAGAATTTTATTCAAATGAGGCGGATAGAGACAACGGGCTCTGCCAGACGCCGCAAGTGATATTTCTGAAGGTGGCAGTGAGGATAACTGGAGCAAAAAAACAAGAATGATTATATCCACTGTGAGGAGGAGGAGGGTGGTGATGGTGATGATGATGATGGTGGTGGTGGTGATGATAATGGATTGAACACTTTCTTTCTGGGGCCGTTGAGCGATTGCAGGAAGTTTGTCTCCCTCTCAAACGCTGTTTTTTGTTGTTATTTTTCTCCTCTCGTCTGTTTTGCTCCTGGTGCTCCCGGTCCTCTGCACCTCTTCCTCTCGCTTCTCTGTCTGGTGCTCTGCATTATGGATTCCTGTTCCCAGATCCGTGGCTTTTTCTCGTAAGAACAAGCTGCAGTGGGGAGTCAGGATCACAATAGATGTAACACGTTCTGCTGCATCCTGCAGGTTTCATGTGTTAATAGCGAAGACAACTGCTAATTACCGCCTATGCAGAGGCGCGCACACACACACACACACACACACACACACACGGCAGGTGCATCATTCCCTTTCAGGTACAGTGTGCAGGCTTCATTAAAGCCTGTTGTTGAAGCGACGAGGTTGCAGGGTTTGAGCTGTCAAGACTCCACATGTGCCTGAGGACAAAGCAATTACAGGTGGCGGAGCGGGTGACGCTGTGTTCAAACAAGCACACGCTGTGAAAGTGCGCCGGAGAACTTTGAAAATCAATATTGGTACTGTTTTTAACGCCTCGAAGCGTCAACAGGTGCAAAATAATCGATCAACCATCTGATCACCGTTTATCAACTCCCCCCCCCTCGCCCCTACCTAGATTAAGCAGAAGTCACCTCCTGCCCCTGATCACGCCGACCCCCTCGCTCCTACCTTCTCACCTCGTGTGGAGAGGGAACATTGAGACCAGTGGCACCTGTGACTCGGTCGACACAAAGGCGTTACATTGATTGAACTTTTTTTATGTTTTGACATGATCAATTTATTCATGAACTCAATGTTTTAATGTGGAGGTCATTTGTTTCTTCATCTTCTTCCTATTTGTCATTGTTTTAATAATTTTTAGTACTTTACATACTCAGTTGGTACGTTTAATCCCACCGCTGTGATCCCATGAATGCGTCTCTGTGTGTCAGTTTTCTATCAACGGCCCGTCACTTCGGCGGAGACAATGGCGTTTCAGTCGAGGCAGCTCTCGACCCCCGCCGGAGCGCGACGCCGCGTGTCACTGCGTCCCACGGCGTCCCGCTGATGTCCCGCTTTCCACCGCTTGACAGCCCGTTGTTAGCCGAGCACATTCCTCCCTTCAGAGGTCCGCTCGCCGTGAAGGTCGCCACCTCGGCCGAGGGTCGCGGTTGGCGAGTGGAACGCAATCACCCGCTATCACGGCGGACGCCGCTGAAGAGGCCATCCAGGGAAATTGAGGGAGAACAGGTGTGACGGGTTCGCAAGTTCAATGCGGCTAGCCGAGGTCGTTATCGCGGCGAGGATGGGAAAAAAAATGCCTGCACAGAGCGAGCGTTCCAAAAAATCTGGGACATTGATCTCTTCCAAGACACTCGCATTAATCACCATGAAGTTCAAGAACCAGAGGAGAGATCTGATCAGCTAAAGTGAAATGTTACAAAAAGTAATCTCCATTCCCGATCCATTCGTGTCCCAAATGAACCCGGTTTAAATTACAAATCTGCTCTCGCTCCACTCCCTGAAAATCCTTCTCCTGAAATAGCCGTGTGCTAATACCTGAGTGCACATTGTGTCCGACGGTCTCGAGCTGAGCCAGGAGACAAACACCGGCAGGAATGTGACGGCCATCGTCCCAGATGAGAAAGTGCCTCGGAGGTTCCCGCCTCATTTTGGCGAGCGTGTTCCGCCGCTACCCTCTGTGACCATAATTAGCATAGCCCCCGAGGGCCAGCAGGAGTCGGGTGGGTAATTGGCCAGCCGCTGTTCCGATTCCTCAGCAACAGGCAACAAATTTAGACCATGCATATGAATCAAGGCAATTTCCTTGGGATTTTTTCATTTTTCATTACACAGTACGCCAATGGGCCGTTTTATTTAAATTTGGTGTGCCCGTATTTTTGTTTTTTGTTTTCTAGTTCAATTGGAGTGGAAGCGGCGGCTAATTGTGTCTGTTGTGAGTTTTTACTCTGGAAAGCCACGAGGCCTCGGCATCTTTCTGTCAGAAAGAGGGAGGAAGTTGGTCTTTTGGTCTTGGCGGAAATGACCCGTAGCTGCTTAACGGCGACACTGTGACACGACACATGATTTAAAGTCACCCGCAGCACTACACGTCACATTTGACCCAGATTGATCTGTTTTGTGGCTTAGCAGATATCACGCCGCCCGGCCGCAGCTGGTTCCATTTAAATAGCCGATCCGTCCCGCGGGAGAAAAGGAGCCACGGAGATGCCACAGTTTGTTTAATCTAAATGGCAGAGCTTACGCTAAAACCTGGCTATTACTGATATAGAAGGGATGGCAGGATTAAAGATTACACTTCATATAAAAAACTTTATTTAGAATGACATAAGAGGATTTCCCGCTGCATTATTCCATATTCAAATGACTCACAACATGTTTCAGATTCGGCTGCATGCCGTTCAGTCACACCATCGGTGTGCTTCGTGGTCGGTGGCGATGTGAGTAAGAAGATCAGTGATAGATTTATGTGATGTGCTGATGTTTTCCACCCCTGATTATCGGCCCCGACCAAAGGGACACGGGCTGCCGTAAAAAGATTAGTGTATGTGATAGAAAAATGGGACCTACTCGTTTTCTTTTTTAGTCAATTTTCGGTAATCCAGCTCAATTTGAGCAGCATCACAGCTCACATTTGGTCTCAACCCTGTGGGACACCTACAGTGTCTACTCCAGTCCTCTAAAGGATGCTACGTGCCTTGCCAAAGGGCGGTTTGGGTCTGGTTGCTGTTTTCATTCATGTCCCCTCTTGTGTTATCCCAGTCATGCCTCTCCGGTTTCTCATCCCCCCCCTGATCTTCTCCAAAATACACCTCGGACTGAACAAACAAGGACTCCGATCCCCGGTCAGTCACAAGTTGTTGAAACATTGTGAGGAAACCCGAGTGCTTTAGCTGTGCGAGAGTGGTGTTCAAAACAGGCCCTTCCCTCCCTCGGAGGCGGGGGGGGGGGGCAACGAGGCGGCTTCAGCGGGCTGAAAAGGAATAGCGACTGCGTCGAAGGATGCGGTGACATTTAGAGGCTGTGCTGCCTCGGCCGGCGCTGCTCTAATAAAGCCGTGGAGATGGAGCAGGCTCAGGAGTAAATATCCTCCCGTCCATGCGGCAGCCCTTCCTTTAATCCTTCATCTCTCCCACTGGCCATCAGTAAATATATCATTTCTTTCCCTGGGCTCTGCGGTAGATGAGGGCATATCTCACGGTCTCTTGCACAGAAAAA